GCGAATTTAATGAGCAGCCTCCACCGTATCACCCAAGTGCTGGGTGACGCCTGGCTGGTGCTCTTCCTGGGAAAATCACAAAATCAGTTGGCAAGAAATCACGGCAGACAACAGGGAGGTCGGAGGAGGAGGGATGAGAATGAAGGGGGGCTAAAACCGCGGCGACAACATCGAAACAAAGACAACGACAACGGCGACATCAAGCTGGCAGTGTTTGCCAGGGAATTGTGTTTTTTTTGGGGTGAAATTGTTGTGCGAGTGTGTGTTTTTCTGTGCACTAACAGAAAAAACACATGTTCAAAAATATTCACAGACATCAATCAGGTTGTAGGAAAAAATAAATGTCTGGGAAATTAAAAAGTCTGCTGGGGAGATGTTAATTTTAGTAACAAATTTGGATATTCAGGATTTGTTAGTTCTTTAGGGACATAAATAAAATAATAATAATACAAAATATATCATAAATTTGATTAAAAGATTAGTTAAAATATATTTAAGACATTTTTAATTATACTTAAAATTTGCTCCCCTTAAAGGAATTTTTTTCTTAATATTTTATTTTCTATTGATTTTCTTTGGAAAAAAACTTCCCTTTAAGAAATAAAAAGGTACGAAACCCTTTGATAAAATAATAATAATACAAAATAAATTATAAATTATATTGACAGAATATTTAATATATATTTAAGAAATTTATTATTAAATTTAAAGGGAGCTTACCATTTAAAAATATTTTTTTTCTTAAGGAGACATATAGTTTCTGCTAATTTACATAAAAATTTTTTACATTTACATAAAAATTCCCATTTAAGCTTCTCTTTATATAAAAAGATATAGAAACCCTTAAAAATATATATATATCGATTTTTTATATATTATTTTAGAGTCTCAAAACCATCTTGAAATCCCTTAAATGTTATATATATTTTTTTGAGCTCCCAAGACCATTTATTTTTCCAACTGTCGCCCTGCTGGAATTGCTACAACCCGGAGAGGGAGGGGGCCCCCAAAAGCTTGTGGCACATACCGCGCGATGCGTGTCTGTCTTCGTTTCCCTCGATTGCACTTGATGGCCAGGGGGAGAGGAACTTGAAGTGGAGGCGGGCCTTTGGTATTTGCCAGGGGACGAACCTAACCGAAAATTGTCTAGGCCGATGTGATGGGTCCTTTGTTGTAGCCTAGGTAGGATAATGACATCAATATGCTTGACAACACTCCCAGAAGACGGCTGACACAGAGGCCGGGAAGCCAGTGACCTTGGGAATGGAGTTCGTGGTGGGGTAAATGAAATACCACGCGTGTGTGCTGATACTGGGATTCATTAGCAATCCCCACCGATAACAAATGGAACTCGTTTTCCCTACTAAAGACACTTTTACCCCAAAAATGTGGTCTCCACATTTCCATAGGGGAATTCTCAAAGCTTTTTTCGGGTGGAAGAAACTGCCACGAAAGTGGCAAGGACCAACCGCAGGACTTTTTCATTAGTGCAAGTGCCGCACACAGCTGCATGGCACACACCCAACACACACCACACACATATGGGCAACTCCCGACACGTTCCAGGCATTGCGGAACGTGCCAAAAAGCATTGCATAAGCGCAGGCGGACAACCAAATCGCAGAAGCAAAAACAAAAAATCCCAGAAAAACAACAAGAAAAACAGGTGCCGGAAAGGAAAATAGAGAAAAAAATCTTGAAACGTAAATACGGGCAAGGCGAGGACAATATTTTTGCTGCCGTTCCGATTGCTTCTACTGCCGATGCTCCTTTTTCCTCTTGCGAACCAAACAAATCTCAGCCACACACACGCAGATATTTGCACTGAGAGAATTGGTTTTCAAGAGGTTAAATTTGGAAATTGTATGGGAGATTAGGATTTTCTTCTGCTGAATTGATATAAATAATAATAAAATTCAATTAGAAATATATTTTTTACTAAATTAATATACACAAAAATATTTTTAAAATTTAAATATATATTTAAGGAATTTTTTTGTAACCATAATTTAAATTTGGAAATACATAGCCTAAATTTTGTTGTATTCATTGTTTCAATTAAAATTAATTTTTTTTCCACTAAAATAATATACAAAATAAAATTCAATTTAAAATTTATAGATAATAACAAATAATTTATAAAACCATATTTTTAAATTTAAATTATAAATTATAATATATATAAAAAGCTATGTATTTTCAAATTTAACTTATGTTTAAATACATAGCCTTTAATTTTTTATTAATTAAAATTAAGCTTTTATTCCACTGAATTAATATAAAATAATAATAAAATTCAATTTAAAACTAATCCTTTACTAGATTAAAATTCCCAAAAATATTTAAAACCTTAAATTTTCCTGAGGAATTATAATCCCTTTGTTTTTCTCTCTGTGCACACACTGGCAATGCGTTTAGCAATCAGCTCACGACTTGGTGCCAGTCCGAGCTGCAACTCCTCCTGCTAGGAACTTGCCTCTCAGTACTCACAACTGTCGTTGCGCATACGCCACGTTGCACCCGGCCGGCTGGGGCGTGTGTTAATAATGCGTGACATAAACTGAAGCCCCGACAAGTCCCGTCGATGGGACAAGCGAATTGAGTTGACTGGCGAATCGAGACGAGACGGGATGGGACTGACTTTGGCCGAGGAGCAGGAGAACTGTGTTTCAGAGTGCTCCAAGTGACAGTTTGCAGTCAGTGAGGAACTGCAGACTTTGTCGAGTAAATGACATTGTCATTGTTTTATTGACGTGCCACACACACATAGACACAGACAGACACAAGCTCACAGCAAATAAGAAAGAGTGTTAAGGGAGCTCGCACACTTCACACACTCTATACACTTCACACACAGCCCCTTAGCACTTAAATTTTTACTTAAAATATGCAAATAAGTGCTGGCAAAGTGCCGACGGGATGTACTTCCTCCCCTAATGTGTGTGCGAATGTGTGAGAATTTCAATTTCCTGCTCACACCCATCGCTGTGTGCCAATCAAAAAGAAAACCCCAATCGAAGGACGCCGGTGGTGAGTGGAGGAAATTCGGAAATTAAACCAAATTGAAATTGTTTCGCGCTCGCAAAGTTTTCTTTAAGTTTTTGACTCTCGTTAAAAGTAGTAAAGTGTATAAAAAGGATACTTTTTTTTTGGTACAAAATAAGTATAGAATTTTATAAGCAACAAATAATTGGAAATCCTTATTTTTAGGAAAAACTTTCACCAGATGTTTTGCCTCCTGATCACAACACTTAACTATAGTGCTTGTTGGGGTCTTGGGTCTTAAGCCCCGGGAAAGTTTTAATTTGCAATTGACATTTTGCAAGTGCAGCCCTCCTTCCTAATCCTGGGGATCTCGCAAAAGGGAGGTAGAAATAATTACAAACTGCAATTATTAGCCCCGGCTAAGGAGGCGCTGCCAAGGCAAATCCAATTAAGTGAAAAGCAAGTGTAAGCCGATGCCTTTACCTGACCAGCTCACCTGGTTCTCTCTTGTCTCTTGCCCCACCCGCTTGGCAGTTAACTGGATAACTGAAGCTCCTGACCTTAGCCTGGTTTTCTCAGGTGGATGGGTGGGTGGTGGTTGGTTGGTTGGTTTTTTTTCCCCTTGAAGTTTGTGTCCTTTTTTTCTTGCCGTTCTGCTGGCAAGAAATGAAATTGCCGAGCAACAAGAACAACAATGGCAATAGTAATAATAAATAATAATGGTTAAATGTGTTTACAAAAGGAGAGAGAAATCTTTTGCTGTTATCTGGAGCAAAAGCCTTCTCCATCCTTGCTCTTCACTCTTGGACTTGGCTTACTTTTGTCCGCTGTGAACTGTCATTGCGTGTTGCACACACAAAAGTACACATTCAGAGACAGTTGGAGATTTAAAGTGAAAGAGGGGTGAAAGAGGGATGATAGAGTGGGGGTAAAAGAGGTCTGAAACACCCAGTAAAATGAAAGAGAATGAGTTATTATGTGGCAAGAGTTGCTTCACCAGTTGGCAGTCCTACTTAATTTTTGATGCGAAAATTCCACTTGAGACTTGAGTCTGCTTGAAGAATTTTCCAAATAAATATGGAGATATTAGAGTGCTTTTGCACTTACCTAAGATTTTGTAGAAAATAGAGGTTTGCCTGAGAATTTATTTTAGTTGAAAGAGAGATGAGTATAGTTAACTATTTATTATATTTATTTTAATTTTTATTATTTTATTTACTTTAGTTTAAAGCTTTTTTTATATAAAGTAACCTCTTCTAGCTTCTTCTCTTTTAATTATTCTATTAAAAATATTAAGAAATATTTATAAAAAATATATGAAAACCCTCAACTCTCAAACCACCCTCGCCGCCTTTCCTCCGGTAATGAAAGTGAAAAACTGTTGCAGCTGCAACAACAACAGCAACAACAACAAGAATCATTTTTGCAGCCGAGGAGAAAACTATTTCAATTGAGGTAGAAAATGAACGACAAGGACATGGCGGCATTTTCCCCACTGGTTTTTTCTCTTCCCCACCCCCCTCTCTTCCCCACCCTTCCGTCGTATATTTTCGTTTCCTTTTGGCATCTCTGTTTTTCCTTGGTCTTGCCATGAATGAGCTGCTGCCCATTCCCTCTCTCTATTTCTTTTTGTGTGTGTTTGCAGTTTAAATTGCACTATGAAAGGAATTTTCACATTTAAGGATTCGTTTTCATTTGGCTTCTCTCTGTGCTTTTATTTCTTTCTCTGATTTTTTTTCGGGGCCAAGTGGGATGATATGTCAAGTGGCATAAGTCGGTGGCTGAAAGCCTGTGCAGCTGCCATTGATAGGATCGAAGCAGGTGTCATCCCATCGAACCCGAAACCTCCTCCCGTATCTGTGTTAGCCCGGCTTAGTTCCAGTTTGCAGTTAGACTCAAGTTGCACTGTCAGAAAAACACAGCTGTGTGCCAAGTGGCTCGCCCGTCTGGGAAAGGCAGTTGTCCAAGCAACTGGGGATTTTTTTGACGATATAAAAGGGGAGCTCGACTGGCAAATGGACAGTCAAGATAGCGATTTGGCAGCATGTCTACAAAGTTGATAGTAGTGGGCTTCGTTGTGCTGGGCGTATTCCTGCAGGCTGGATTTTGCCAGGATAATAAGACCTCCACGCCGATGGACTACTGCCAGAGTGTCTTGTGCCCCATACACAAAAGACACATTGCCTGCAACAACAAGGGCGTGAGTTCATATCCCTTTGGGATTTTTCTAGAGTTTCCTAAAAGGACCTTCTTCCTTCGTAGACCCTCAGCAAGCAGTGTCCTTCGAATGCCAAGGTGGTGAACCTGTCTGCCCTGCACGATCTGATCCTGAATGAGCATAATGCCTATCGCAACTTGCTTGCCTCGGGAAAAATCAAGCACTTGCCCCAGCCCGAACGCATGGCCACACTGCAGTGGCATGACGAACTGGAGTATTTGGCCACACTGAACGTCAAGCAGTGCGCCTTGCAGTACGATCCCTGTCACAATACCCTGGAATTCCGCGCCTCTGGCCAGAATCTGGCCCTGATCAACATTACTCAGCTGGCAGAGACCGACGACAATCACACGGATGCAAGTCTTTTGAAGTTGACCAATCACACGGATCATCAGAGTCTCCTGGATCTGACCAATCACACGGATGAGAATCTCATCAAGCTGGTTATCGCCACCTGGTGGGATGAGAGTGCCAATGTCACGGGAGAGGATGTGCGCCGCTTTCCCAAGGGCAAGCTGGAAGAGTGGGTAGCATTTCCTTTGGGGCCATAACCTTGATTTAATTTCTTGTTCATCTCAAATCCAAATCCAGCTCCGCTGGCCACTTTGCTGTCATGGCCCGGGAAAACAACACCTTTGTGGGCTGCGCCGCCTTGAGATTCGACAAGTCCCCGGGACAGCCCCACTTTCTGCTGGCCTGCAACTATGCCAGCGATTATATCTGCGACTGGCCCCTGTACAAGGAGAAGTCCTTTGGCTGCAAGTCGGGCTTGGACCTCAAGTATCCCTTCCTTTGCAAGGCGGGCGAGCAGTACCAACAGCCGGGTGCGGCTGTAGAGGAGACCACCGCAAAAAACAGCTTCTGGATTTAGGAGGGAGGAGTGAGGAGCTAAAAATATTATACACCCCAAACCGAAGGTTTGGAGTGGGTGGTGGGTGGTGCACTCACAGTCTATTTAACATGTTGATTTGTGTCACAGTGCATGGCGGTCATATATCATCTCCGCATTAGGCACAGACACCTTGCGAGTGTCAGTGATGATATTGTTGGAGATATTACAGAAATTATAAATTAAAGGCGAGCATTAAAAAAGGCTTTAAAATATATAGCTAAAATCTTTGAAAATGTATTATGAATAAATAATCTTAGGGTTTAAATCAAAGAAATATTTTAAATACAAATTTTGGTAGATTAAAGAGCATTTAAAATTATTTAAAAACAATTAAAATTAGGCATTTAAATTTGTAAAAAATTTATAAAAAATCATTTTTTTAATAGTAAAATTATATTTATTTTGTAGAATTTATAATATAAAATTTTGGAGCTCCAGGAAGCTTTTAAAATGATTTAAAAATCATAAAATAACTCTTTGAAATTATAGAAAATGTATAATTTTATTAACAGTAGAATTAGATTATTTTTTAGAATTTATAAAATAAAAAATATATCTTTTATATATCGCAATACCACCCCTTGTTTTAGAGTCCTTATATTATAGCCAAAAAATATATATTTTCCTACCAAAACACCTATCACAATCCACCCAAAAATCAGTTCTAAGAAAGCCATAAAAAAAAGCCAAACTCTCAGCCCAGTCTAGCCTTACACATTTAGCTCTATTCCACCTCCCCCACATCAGCATCATCATCATCATCGCCATCGCCATCGCCATCTCCATCAGCAGCTAAAATATGATACGCGTTGTTTGGGTCTCGGAAAAACGCCAACGAGACGACGACGACGACAAGTTGGCATCTAATTTTAACGTCAATATACAAAATGTAAAAACGTGTCTTCATCAGCTCGTAATATAGCTGGCCTCCCCCCGGCCCCCTCACCTCCACCAAAGTGCCTATTAATAATGCTGAAAAAGAAAATGTTTTCCCTTGGCTCTGCTTTATTTTCGGCCTCTACGTTTAATATGCCGTTTTCCCCGTCAAATCTGAGGCTCATTAAAGTCCGGCGAGAGATATAGGCAACATTTACGCTTAGTTTTTTTTTTTTTGGTGGCCGTAATTAATTTCGCACTAATGCCTGCCACATTCATTATGGCTTAATTAAAATTCAACTGGAATTAGTTTCCAGCATCCACCATTATGAACTTATCAAAATGTATATATCTCTCTGTTTATATCTCTCTATTTATTTTTTATAATTATATTTCAGCCATTTGACAGGCCAATGAAAGAGCTGTGCTTTGTTCTGTGTTACTGTTGTTGGCCCGCTCATTAAATGCGCGTAAAACTAACATGGCCAACAACATATTTCGCTTGGCGGCTCATAAAAGCATAAATACACGCATAAATAGAATAATGTACAAAGTCATGTGAGCGGTAAAAGTAGCATAAATTATTCGGATTTTTGGGACAGAGAGGATGCATGATGGATGGGAGGCTTTTAAAGGGTGTCTCTATATTTTTTGGGTTTATTTTGTAGTTAATTTTATAATTTAAAAAAATAAATAAATTAAGCAAAATTTATAAAATATTTTTTACAAAAATCCTACTTAACTTTATTAATCTTCAGTTGCGATTTATTCAAAAATACTCTATAAATATTATTTTTTCACAAAAAAATCCACTAAAACCCTGTTAAAAAAACCCTAAAAATAAATTTAAGAAACAGAGTCTCTTTAAAATGTTAAAATAAATATAAAAAATATTTTTATATATTTCTTACTTAACTTTATTCATCTTCAGTTAAGATAGAATACAATTTATTAAAAAAACCCTTGTAATATTATTATTTTAAAAATAAAATCATTTAAGCTCTGCAAAAAAAAAACCCCTTAAAATAAATTTAAAACCCAGCCTCTTCTTAAAATGTTTATGAGGTGTCTTTCCACTTAATTTTTCAAGCATAAAAACCTAATAAATAATTTAAATATTGCCGTAAAATGCTTAGCAGGTCTTAAAACCTTCCCCACATGACATTATATGGAATATAAAATATTTATGTTTCATGATTTGGAAATCGCTGGGCACACGCTCATTTACAAACCACAGAGAATGAAATTTCTATAGACTATAACATATATATATAGACTGACTCTGTCCCTGAACGCTTCACGAATTTGATTGTGGAAAATGATTTGATGGTCGAAATGGAATGAAAAGCGGCAAAATTATGGCCTAAAGGAGAGGCATTGCATAAATTGTGGCGGAATTTAAACAAGTTAATATGATATTAGTTGGGAAGCGGGCATAAATTATGGGAGCGTGCAGCGAACAATATAAACAGAGTATAAAGCCGCTCTGATTTAGTGCCTAGCCATTTAGCTGTTTAATGAGCACTCAGATGTGTCAACAGGCTAAATGGAAATTTATTTAATTATGATTCATAAGTCACAAAGCGGCTTACAGCTGGCAAAACATGCAAAATTCCAAAAGCAGCTCCATTCTCTATTATTTTCTTCGGCTTTCTGTCCAAGTGTTTGAAGACTTCGGACATGAAAACATCTGAAAAGGCAATCAAAAGTTTGGCCCAAGGAAGTGGCTAAAAAACAACAAAAAATTGACAAAGCAAAACTTTTGATTTATGCAATTTGCGCTAAAAATACAAATCCATTTGATGACATTTTTTTTTGCGTGGGGGAAATAAAATTTGGCCAACAATTCCAATAAAATGGCAAAAAGCAGGCTTTGATTTATTTGTCCTTGTCTGGGGTCTGGGTTTTCGGGTTTCGGGTAATTCCCCAAATGCTCAGCCCCGGAGTACCATTCCCCCTTACCCCTCTCTTGCTCCACAAATGTCATACATGAAGCATAATAAATGGGCAAGCAAAACTTTGAACAGGACAAGAGGGGGTTGCTCCTAGCTCCTACATAGCTCCTTCTGTGTGTTGTGTCTTGTGTCAAGTCAAATGCAAATGACCGACAAATTTGCCAGGCTATATAGCGGCGGCGGCATAGGAACGGGAACGGATATATGGTATGTTTATGTATATGTATGACCGCAGGCCATGGGCACTTTGGCCACAAATTTCCACACAATTTATGCACGTCTGCGAAACGGAAGCGGAGCGGAGACACTGAGGATCCCATTGCCGGATCATTTATTTTATAGTCCGTCGCTTTAAGTTATTTTTCTTCATTATTTTTTATGTCTCTCGGTGCCAAAGGCATTTGGCAATCAGCGCCAAATGTTTGCTCAAATAATTTATACAAGAGAGCGAGCGAGCGAGAAATAAACAAAACAAACAAACAAAACAAACAACAGACGCTCATCACACATACGCCCCGTTGGCCATGGTCCTGCTTCGAGTTCATAGACAGGATCTTAACGGCACAGTTCATTAGCGGTCCTCCTGGAACTTGCTTTATTAATCCTCCCAGGACCAAGACAAAGGGCCAGTTGTCATTAGGGGCTGTCCTTTGGCATAAACACCAAATTAAGTTTTAGTGTTTCATTTATTTTTGGCACTCTCTCTTCACATGCGTGTGTGTGTGTGGTGTGGCTTATAGTGTGGGATTTTGGGGCCTATTTGCTTTTATTGCCCTCAAACTATGAGCTCGTCCTGCGGCTGGTCTATGCCAAGTCCTATTGCCTTTTGATTGTTTGTAATGAGCTCCTCGGCCGGGTTATGGTGCGGGTCATCAGTGGCATGAATAAAACATCGATCTCGAAGGCCCGATAAAGGTTGCGCAAATGTCAAGCAGTCAAAATACTCAAACTATGATTAGGTGTGGCCCTCAGAGCTTGGCTAATGTGATTTGGGGGCTTACATGGAGGGGATTACAGCAAAGAAAATATGTTTATGTCACTGAGAACAAGCGGAGAAAGGCATTAATTATAATTTTTTTAATTAGGAAGGTGCTACAATTTATTTACAACTAAACAAAAACCTAAATTATATATATTTTTTTAATTAAGAAATTGCTAGAATTTGATTACAACAAAAAAAAAAAAATCTAAATTATATTTTCTTTAATTAAAAAGTTGCTAGAATTTATTTACAACCAAAAAAATACCTAAATTATATTTTCTTTAATTAAAAAATTGCACTTATTTACCTAAATTATATTTTTTTTAATTAAGAAGTTGCTACAACAACAAAAAAAAATATTTTACTTATACTTTTACTTATTTTTAACAAAAACAAATATTTTAAATACCCTTAAAATATAAATTTAAAATTATAAAATCAACATCTCTCTGTTCTTATTATAAAATACCATTTAATTTGACTGTTAATGAATGTAAACTTGGTTAATATCGCTTACAGCTCACGTAAATTCGATATCTCCCTTGAATTATTAATACTTTGTTTAAATCCCACGCCTTTGTACTCTTAATAATTATTTGTATGGCCCGTATTGTTCTTTAAATTATAAAAAAAAAAAATAATAATCAATGACCAGCTTTGTGTATGGGGGCATAAGTGTGCTTCGATTAATTTCCAACTTAATTGATTCGTTTGAAATGTGATTCCAGCTAATTTAATTTATTTGCCAGCTTTATTGCCTGTTTATTCAGTTCATTTGTGCATTTATTTTGCCTTAAATGCTGGGTGTCTCTGCCAGATAGTAAAAGTATCTATATTTCTGGATAGAATTTCCATTTCCGGCCCGCTGATCAAAACAAAACATATACCCAAGGCTACTGCACCTGCAGTGGCCAATTGTGCGGCAAATATAATTCAATTAACACCAAAATATACACCCAGATTCCTATGGATCCCACAGATACATATAGATATAGAGATATAGATAGATATAGAGAGAGAGAAAGAGTAGGGCAGACATCGAGTGACCGGAAAGTGGCGCTTTACAATTTGTGCAATTTCCGCCTCCGAACACAACATCAAACAGAAAAATCTCTCCATCTCCAAAAGAGAGAAAAAAACTTTGCTCCCGTTTGATGTGTGAATTGCGCAAATATTTTTGTTAAAAAATATATTCACCCACCCACACTCGCACTCGCTGCTCTCCCGTTTGCTCTTTTTATTCCTCGGAAACTTGTTAAATTGAAAACAAACAAAGAATGTTTTTTATATAATGCGATTAGCGGCTTTGGCCTCTGCTTCGGCCTCGGCCTCGGTCGCCATCGAATTCTATTAGCCGCTTATGCAGCCCGATTGAAGTTTAATTGAAAGCGAAACAATATT